CTCATACTTGGACCCCATCCACCCCCAGTCCCTTGTCACTGCATGGCTTATGGTCTGCTCCAGGGCACCTGGTCCTGTGCTTGAACTTAGAAGGCAGCAGAGGAAGAGAGCAAGAGGAGGGCATGGGGTCCCCCTTGAAGGGCTGCATGACTGAGGGAGAGGCTGTCTTCTGGTACATGAGTCCAGGCAGCACAGGTAGGGAAAAGTTGTCACATAGCATCCCAAAAGCCAGGGTAGTTGTGCCAACTCGGTGCTGTCAGCTGTCCTTGAGCTTGTTGTCAAAACAGGTGGAGCATGCTTTCTCTTCTGTAAATTGTACCCAGCAATGCCCCTGTTTTATACCTCATGAAGTTATTACAAATCAACCACCAGGTAATGACCCTAGTTAGGGTAGGGTGATACTGTCAGATAAGGGGACTTTGTCACCCTAACTTAGTTCCTGAGCTCATTCAAGCTCATTCAACTGCAAATTCAGGGCATGGGTGTGGTGACGCATGCCTGCAGTCTAGCTACTCCAAAGGCTGAGGCAGGAAGGTCAAAAATCCAAGGCTAGCCTAGGCAGTTTAGTGAGATTCAAAATAAAAGGAAAAAGAGGGTGAGAATATAGCTTAGTGGTAGAGTGCTTGCCTAGCATGGGATAGACCCTGGCCTGGGTTCCATCTCCAATGCCACAGAATTTGGGGAGGGAAGATCAGAGGACAGCTTAGGGGAGTTGGTTCTTTCCTTCTACCATGTAGGTTCTGGGGATCAAACTTGGGTTACCAAGTTTGGTGGCAGGTAAGTTCAAAGTCAGCCTGATCTACGTGATGAGTTCCGGATCAGGCAGTACTACATAGTGATTCCCTGTCAAAAAAAAAAAAAAAAAGAGTCCAGGACCTGGTGGTTCTGGGGGAGCTGGAAGGATGGTGGTGGCCTTGGCAGAGGCAAGCAGCACCAGTGGGGGTGCTGTTCCTGGCAGGGAGTGGACAAACTTGGTGTGAGAGGTGTTGAACAGGAGGTAGCTATGGGCAGATGGGAAAGCTATCTGAGAGGCAGCAGGAGGTGGGAGCTGAGACCTGGGAGGGGACCTGAACTGTTGACATGATTTTGGGGGGGGCTCCTCTCTATGCAATATGTGAACAATGATGGCAGAGACCCCAAAGGCCAAGGCATGAAAGACAACCTGGGGATGGGCTGGTCAGCAAGAGTCCCCTGGGAGGAAGTGAAGAAGCGACCAATCAATGCTTGCTGGGAAGCAGGGAGGCTTAGAAGGGGGAGACCAGGAAAAGGCCATTTCCAAAGGCTGAGCACAGAATGATTGAAGTCAACCCTTGTGCAGAGTCTGGGAAAATTCAGGGTCCGGGAACTGCAGGAGGTTGGGGAGGAGCAAGGCTGCAGGAGAGAATGTAAGGAGAGGTTAGAAACCCAGCTTGCTTCTCCATCGCCCCTTTGCTGGGGGGATTATATTTATTTCCCTCTTCAACTCCTCCCATGTCCCTGCCCCAACTCTCTCTCAATTTCTTGTCCTCTTCTTTGATTATTATTATTACATATACATACACACACATGCATATATATATATATATATACATATATAATGCACTGAGCCCATTTACTGGTTCTCATGTGTTCATGTGTACCTGTGTTTAGGGCTGCTCACTTGGGATTAGATAACCTCTTAGGGAGCTAGTCCCTAGAGAAAACTGATTCTCCTTCCCTCATCTTTTTTTTTTTTTAATTTATTTTATTATTATTGAGTGTGTGTGTGTGTGTGTGTGTGTGTGTGTGTGTGTATTCCGTGTGTGTGGGTACCTGAGGAGTTCAGAAGAGGGCATCTGATCCATGGAGTTATAGGTGGTTGTGTGGCACCCTGTGTGGATGCTGGGAAGCAAACTCAGGTCATCTGGAAGAGCAACTTATGCTCTTAACCACTGAGCCATCTCTCCCCAAGGCCAGGCCAGTTCTAGCTACCCCCATAGAAAATCAGATCATTCTTTTTTTTCCCTGTTGTATGTATGGATGTATATATATGTACATGTTCATGTATGTGCAGGTCCATGTGTGTATGCATGCAGACCAGAGGACATCAGGTATCATTCCTCAGGCATTATCCACCTTTTTTTTGTTTTTTGTTTTTGATTTGTCTCCCTTTTGCCCCAGCTGGCCTGGAGCTCGCTATGTAGACCAGGCTGGCCTCAAACTCACAGAGATCCATCTGCCTCTGCCTCCTGAGTGCTGGGATTAAAGGTGTGCACCACTATTATCCACCTTCTTTAAGACAAGGTTGCTTACTGGCCTGGAGTTCACCAAGTAGGTTAGACTAGCTGGTCAGTGAGACCCAGAGACCCATCTGTCCCTACATCTCAGCCCTGGGATTACAAGTGCAGGCTACTACTTGGGCTGGAGAGATAGTTCAGCAGTTAAGAACACTGGTTGTTCTTGCAGAAGACCCAGGTTTGAATCCCAGTACCCACATGGCAGCTAATGACTGTCTGTAACTCCAGTCCCAGGGGATCTGACAGCCTCTTCTGACCTCCGCAGGCATTGCACGACACTGGTGCCCTTGCCTACATGCAGGCAATACACACATACACATAAAATAAAAATAATAGTAATATATAATATGCATATATTTTAAAAATACTTTATTATGTATGTATAATGTAATAAATGTATATGAATATATTGTCTGCATGTATGTAAGTGTACCTGTGTCACGCAATGCTCATAGAGGTCAGAAGAGGGCATTGGATCCCTTGGAACTGGAATTAGGATGGTTGTTAGCCACCATGTTGGTGCTGGGAATTGAACCCAGGTCCTTTACAAGAGAAGCCAGTGTTCTTAACCACTGACCCATCTCTCTGGTCCTTTTTTTTTTAAAGATGGATTCTGAGGATCAAACTTGCGTCCTCATGCTTGAAATACAAGCACTTTACTGACTGATCTATCTCCCCAGCCCCCAAAGCAGATTATCCTAAAATGTTAAGTTAAAGTCTGCAGGTCAATTGTTGGAGCAAATTGGTCCCAAAGAAGGGCCTCCAGATTCTGCCAGTTGACTGAGGTGATAAGGGTGGGGGAAGGTCTTCCCTAAATGACCAAGTTCCTAAGTGACCCATCTACAAGACACTCCCTACCCCTCAAGCTCCACCCCAATCCATATAGTACCCATTAGTGCTTTCCTGTCTCACTGGAAAACATGGAAACAGCCTAACTTCCAGAGTCACACATTTGAGAGAGATTTCCACCACCAGTGACAGAAAGCAAACAAAATCTCCAGGAAAAGCAGATTTATGTGCATATGAAACCTGGATAAAAATTAAATGATAGCAGTCTAAATGGGTGCTTAGAAGGTAGGCGGTTATATCCTCAGGCAACAGTTGTCTCTAGGTGGATGGGATGGTGGGAGGATTTTCTCATTATTTGTTTGTGTTTTCTGGGCTTTCTGTAAAGAATATCCAATGCTTTGTGAGAGGGGAAGGATGAGTACATTAGCCACCTTGGAACCATCTCAGTACAACGTGCTTATGAATGCTTATTAATCCATCTTCTTACAAAAATGTGGAGGTCCAGGGCAAGGGCTATGACAAGAGGCTGACCAACCACACTGTGTTGTCTGCAACAAGCAGTTCCCCAGAACACAGATGTCCTGGGTCAGACTCAGGGAAGCTCCACTGAACAGGCATGGTTGATCACCCTTGACTTTGTCATTTGCAAATATCTCTGTTCATCAATTTGTTCTGAGTCTCATGCCTTCTCAGCAAGGTCAGTAGGGCCATCTTTTTCTCTGTGGTGTGTGTGTATGTGTGTGTGTGTGTGTGTGTGTATGCGCCTTATGTGGTGTGTGTACTTGTTAGTGGGTGTATGCACATATGCATGTGAGTGTGCATGCATATGTGTGCACTGTGTGAGGAGGCCTGAGGTTAATGTTGGGTATATCTTTCCTTAATAGCTCTTTTTTATGTTTTCTCATTATCTTTACTAATTTGTGTGTGTGTGCACATAAGTGTGACCATGCCACAGCATACATGTGCAAGTCAGAATACAATTTGCAGGAATTGGTCCTCTCCTTCCCATGTAGTTCTGGGAATGGAACTCAGGTCTCCAGGCTTGGTGGCAAGTGCCTTTACCTGCTGAGCCGTCGTCCATCTTTAGTTTTTTGAGACAAGGGCTCTTAGTGAACCTGAACTTCATCAATTCGACTAGACTGGCTGGCCAATGAGCTTCAGGGATCTGCCTGTCTCTGCCTATCCCCTACTCTCCACAATGCTGGGGTTACAAACATGCACCCCATGATGGACTTTTTTTAAATGTGGGTTCTTGGCCAGGCACTGTGGTACATGCCTTAGCAGTTTGGGAGGTAGAGGCAGAGTTCGAGGCTAGCCTGGTCTACATAGCGAGTTCTAGGCCAATAAAATAAAATAAAAACGTGGGTTCTGGGGGTCCAAACTCAGGTCCTAATGCCTGTGCAGCAGGCACTTTACAACTAAGCTTTCTGCCTAGCCTTCACCCCATCTGTGACCCAGGGAAGCTCTCATTGCCTTGGAGAGCCTGGAGAAGAAGGCTCTGAAACTGTCATGTAACTTTGCTAAAATAAAAATTAATGGAAAAAAGATGAAGAATATTTAGGAAGGTCATCAGCCTGAACAGGGTGGACTGCAAAGGGACAAAAGGGACTTTTGTAGGATGATAGCAACAATGTATCTTTGTTGAGGCAATGGTTTTGAGGGGTTATGCAACTGTTAAGCTCATTGAATTGCACACTAAATGGGTGTAGCTTATTGTACTTAAATTATACCCCAATTAGAGAGAGTATTAGCCAATGGGGCAGACTTGGGCTCCCTGGGAGTCCACACAGGGCCAGCCCCTGCTCACCTGTTCACGTGCATACTCAGGTTCTTGTCCTCACCTATCCCCCATCCTATCTCCACCCTGATATATGGAGTGACTCCCTGGTCCAGCCATGCCCCCTGAGAGACATAGGGAATTAGCACAGCACTGAACTGTTCTATTTCTATCCCCAGGACTCTAACCTGTCTGTGTATACTGACACCCCGGACCTCACGCCTTGCTTCCAGAACTCTCTGCTGGCCTGGGTCCCCTGCATCTACCTGTGGGCTGCCTTGCCCTGCTACCTGCTCTACCTGCAGCACCACCGTTGTGGCTACATCATCCTCTCCCACCTGTCCAGGCTCAAGACGGTCAGAGGCTCAGGGTTGTCCTCTGAGAAGGGGGAACTTAGAGAAGTCTGACCTAGAGAATTTAATGAACTTCCTGTTCCTTTTGACAACTCAAACAGGGTCCCATAGTTCCATAGCAGTCTATGGACTAGACAACTGGGTCTACAGCCAGCTGAGCTGTTCCCGTTTTAGAAGTTCTAGAAAGTTCAGCAACCAAACAACAGAACTTCCCACCTGCTACCCCCAGAAGTTTCTGACTTGGCCTAGACAGGTCTGATAGCTTCTGTTGGCTACAGGAGCAAAGATTTCTCCCCAGCAGGGACTGGACCTATTTTTGTGGATGGAGACTGCAACCTGTGCCCTGTCTGCAGGCCCTGGGCGTTCTGCTGTGGTGTGTCTCCTGGGCGGACCTCTTCTATTCCTTTCATGGCTTGATCCACGGCTCAGCCCCGGCCCCCGTCTTCTTTATCACACCGCTGGTAGTGGGGATCACCATGGTTCGTGTGGGGCCCAAGAAGGCTGGGTGGGGAGGGCTACAGTGGGTTGTCCAGTGTGATGAGGACCATGGGCTACAAGGAGGAGGCTGGACATCTGGCTGGACATCTGGTAACTCCAGAAACATCTGGCCATGTGGAAGGGGGTTCAAGCAGGTCCAGATGTGTGTGCTTTGGTTGAACCTCCTCTACCCTTCCTGCACAGTTGCTGGCCACATTGCTGATCCAGTATGAGCGGCTTCGGGGGGTGCAATCCTCAGGAGTCCTCATCGTCTTCTGGTTCCTATGTGTGGTCTGTGCCATCATCCCCTTCCGCTCCAAGATCCTCTCAGTCATGGCAGAGGTATGGGGGTCGGGCTTTCCAGGTCCACCCCTGTCCAGGGGTGTGGCCTCAGGGTTCAAGGTCACTGCTGGATTCCAGGCTCCTTCCCACTCCCAGGATCTTCTCTGTTCACCATTTTTTTTATTTTATTTATTATTTTTATTATGTTATGTGTATAAGTGTATTGCTTGCATATATGTAAGTGCACAATGGGGCACTTTTTAATTTTTTAAAAATATTTTATTTATTTATTTATTTTATTTATTTTTTTATTTATTTATTGCCACAAGTTCACATGAGCAAGCTTCCAGTGGCCTGAAAGTCATTGCTATTCTCTGTTCATCTTCCTCCGCTTACTTTTTCCTTTTTTCCCCCAAGTGCTGGGACTACAGGCATGAGCCACCACGCCTGGCTATTTATTTATTTTTATATGTATAAGTATATTGTCTGCATGTATGCAAGTGCACCCGTGTCATACAATGGCCACAGAGATCAGAAGAAAGCATCATCGAATTCCCCTAGAACTGGAGTTATAGATGGTTATTAGCCACCATGTGGGTGCTGGGAATCAAACCTGGGTCCTTTGCAAGAGCAGTAAGTGCTCATAACTCCTGAGCCATCTTTCCAGCCCTGTTCACCATTTTTTTATGTTGGTCTCCATTTGCTGCATCTCTGGTGGCAGGAAGCGGGAGACCTGGGTAATGAAGGAAAATGGGTCAAAGAACTTGCCATGGTTGGATGCTCCCCAGAGTGCTTGGGGGATCCACTCTGTACTGCCACCCCCGAGTTCAGTATATGGTGTGGGTCTCAACTGGTGCAATCCTCAGGTATCCTCGATTGTGAACATGTGTGTGGGTGTGCATGGAGTCCCATTCATTTATTCTGCTTCTTCCCACCCACTTCTGACCCTGGCCTTCCTCTAGCTTTGATGAGAGGAAGAATGGAGCACTGGCGATCAGTTCAGTGTCCCCATTTCTCTTTTAGGAGGATGTAGGCAAGGAAAGTAGTTGGGAGCACAGGCTGTAAACCGCCGCTGACTTTCGTGGGATCTTGAGCCAGTTGCTTAGGCCCCTGGAGGACAGTGTCCTCACTCTCAGCTTACATGTCACAGGTTATCCTGGCTGTAAGTGGTTGTCCTGGTTAGACAGGGTGACAAAGGCAAAGTACTGGCACAATGCCTGGCTCGGGACAAGTCCTCACCAGACCACAGTCCCCAACTCCATCACCCTTCCCACTTCTCAGTGTCTTCTGGGTGCTCCAGACACCTGACACCCCAAGGATCAGCACTGCGGGCCAACCTTCCTAGAGGTTTCTGACATCTCTCTCCACTCCCCACCAGGGTAGGATCTCAGACCCCTTCCGATTCACCACCTTCTACCTCTACTTTGCCCTGGTGCTCTGTGCCCTCATCCTGTCCTGCTTCAGAGAGAAGCCGCCATTTTTCTCTCCAGAAAATGTTGACCCGGTGAGTTTGCCATGGAGGGTGTGGGACTCCAAAACTTGCACCTCAGTCCAGATGGTGCCAGCAGTCCATCCCTCCAATCCCACCCAAAGCAGGAAAGGCCACCACCAGGTCCTGTGATCAGGCTGAAAACATGAAAGAATGAGGCCCCCCCATTGAGATGCTGGGGGCACTCCTGATTTCCTGCTCTCTTCTCTCACCTTCTAGAACCCCTGCCCAGAGACCAGTGCTGGCTTCCTCTCCCGCCTGTCTTTCTGGTGGTTCACAAAGTGAGTTGGCTCTTGCTCTACCCTGAACCTGAGGAGGGGGAGGAAAGAAGAGGAGCAGGCTAGAAGTCTATGGACCCCAGGACTTGGCCTGAATGGGCCCTCCCTGACACCCCAGTGACCAGGGTGGGCAAACGTGGCTGTTCGGGCTAGGGGTTGAGTGTGGAGGCTAAGTTTGGCCCAGCTCAGCTCCCAGGCTGTAGGCCAGCCCTGCATCTGGCAGGCGGCATGAACAGGAGCAGGGGGGAGACCATAATTAGTTCTGAGCTCTTCCGTCTGGGATAAGCTTACAGCTTGTCATCTCCTTGGCTGCCCCTCAGAGCAGCTTGAGCAGGATAATTGTGTCTGTGACCTGGGTGACAACTCATTAACCACATGCACCTGGGGCTGGCCTGAATCCGCCCCTGCCTTGTGCATACTCAGGACCAAACAATGTGTATGTGATCGCCAGGGCCTTGGGCAGATAGAGCATCTGGGGACAGGGAGGAGAGGGGCAGAGAGGGATGTGAGTCGGGAGGAAGGAGGCAGCCACCTGAAGCCTGCTCACTGTGGGAATGACAGGGACATCTCCTTTGGGTGCTGCAACAAAGGGGGACCTCCCCCTCTGGGACCCTGGAGGTATCAGTCCTGCCTCTAAGCTTCTAAATTCTGACCCTGTGTGGGGCTGCCTCCCTACTCCCCTAGGCTGGCCATCCTGGGCTACAGGCATCCTCTGGAGGAGCAGGACCTCTGGTCGCTGAACGAGGAAGACCGCTCTCACAAGGTGGTGCAGCGGCTGCTTGAAGCATGGCAGGGGCAGCAGAAACACACAGCAGGGTGAGGCCTCCCTGTGTCTTTAGGACCCTGTTCCCACACCTTCGTACTCTGGCCCTCCACACTCCCCTGTGGTGTTTCTGATAAACCTGAGAAACATAGGCCAGAGTAGGGAAAGAGCAAATACAAGGATGTCTTGGCAGCCTTAAGATGCTGCAGGTAGAAGCCAGGCCTGAGTTGGGCTGGTCCTCCTTGGTTCTGCTGAGGACAGGAGGATGACTGACCCTTAAGTATCATTCAGTGTATCCTAGGCACCACTCTTAGAATGTAGTGTACCTCATTCAATATCTCAGCAGCCCAACAGTGTCCATTCTGTTGTTGGTCCAGAGAGGGACACTGAGGCTCAGAGGTTTAATGACACTCCCAAGATCCCCCAGCTGGTAGTGGCAGAACAAAGATCCGCACCCAATTGGCCCAGAGCTCCTGATCTTATTGCTCTTCTACCATGCCTGACTTGAATGGGAAACTCCAGGGTCTTCCCTCAGAGGGGCAGGGCCAGCCCTCTCAATCCTGTCTCTCTTATTTGGAGGCAGGCCTGGATGAGGGCCCATGGCAGAGGGCCTTTGCACTGGCAGCCTCCCATCCAGTACCTATCCTCGGGTCAACAGCAAAAAGAGCTGGGGCCTAGAGTCTGCCTTCTTTATCTACTCTGACCCTTCTGCCCACACCCCAGGGCTTGGGAGGTCATTCCTTGGTCAGCTAAGAGCCACTGGTGACCTCTAGCTGTTAGAAGAACAAGAACAGGGCTTGGATAGTAGTATTGTGGCTTCCCTGGCTTGCAGTTTCTGGAGAGGCCTGTGGGACCACCACCTGCCTGCTGTACCCTCCTTCTGTCCCCCTATGCCACCTCCACCCTCTCCCTGTTCAACTACCCAAAGACTAAGCCCTCTAGTCTCCCTACCCTGATCAAAGTGATCCTCTTCCATCTCAGTGCCTTCTCTGGAGCCAGCCCTGGGAGACAGGGAGCTGGCCAGAGGCTGCTAAGAACATGATCCTTGGGGCAACAGGGTGGCCTCCCTTCAGCAAGCACCTTCTGGCAGCTGGGTACAGTCATCTGCAGAATTTTCCTGTTGTCTGTCTCCCTTCTAGTCCTGAAAGTCAAGAAAACAGGTTTCTCTTCCTTATCCTCTTCTTCCTCCTCTCTCTTCTCTCCCTTCTCCTTTTTCTTCTTCCTCCTCTTCCTCCTCATCCTCCTCTTCCTTTTTCTTCCTTCTCCTATCCTTCTTTCTGCTCCTTTTCCTCCTCCTCCTCCTCTTCTTTCTTTCTTTCTTTCTTTCTTTCTTTCTTTCTTTCTTCCTCTTCTTCTTCCTCCTCCTCTCCCTCATCTTCCCTCTTTCTCTCTTGGCCTCCTGGAGTCAGGTACCCATCTCACCCACTGTCTTTCCTCCCCAACCAGGCCCCAGGCTGGAGCATTTGAACAAAAGACCCCAGGCGAGGATGAAGTCCTGCTAGGGGGCCAACCCAAATCCCGGAAGCCCTCCTTCCTCTGGGCCTTGGTGAGAACTTTCACCTCCAGCTTAGTCATCAGCATCTGCTTCAAGTTGATCCAGGACCTGCTCGCCTTTGTCAACCCACAGCTTCTCAGGTCTCACCACATTCCCTCTTGCTGCAGCTCTCCCCTGGAAGAGGGCTGACTGGCTGCCCTAGACCAGGAATCGAAAGGCTGCCTTCTGCTTTCTGGGTCACCCTTGGCCAGTGGCATTGCCTCTGTACCTCAGTTTCCCCATTCACAGTACACATACATCTGCACATACCATGCACCTTGTACCTTGGTGGATTCAGTAACAAGCATTTGCTCTTTAACCTTGTCCAGCAGTCCTTTAGGGAAATGTCCTTGTTTCCTTTTTACTAAAGTGAAGGCAGATACTCTGAAAGGTGAGGCACACAGCTGGAAAGAAGAATCAGATCTCAGTGCAGGGCTCTGAAGTCCAGCTACAGAGCTCTTTCCAATACCTTCAGAAGAAGTTCTCAGATGACAAAGTGGGACGCAGAACTGCCTAGCAGCTGAGCCCTGCATCCCATATGCATAATTATTAATTCAGCAAGTACCCATGGAGCCCCCAGCCACTAGGTTTGCAGAGAAAGTAAGGCAAAGTCTTAAGGTCTTTGGGGGGGGGAACCAACAGTAATTTAATTAGAATACAATGGGTGACAGGTGTGCCTGGAAAACCCCGGGAAAGGCCAGGAAACCAGCCCACAAGCGTAGGAAACGTGCCAGCTCAGGAGGTTATCTTTGAAGGAATAAGTAGGTGAAAGAGGAGAGAAGGTGTAGCCCAAGCTGTCACAAAGGGCTGAAACAACATGACTCAGGAGCTATAGCTTGGGACTAGTAGAGAAAAGGTACCCAAGGGAGGGGCAGGAATAGGGAGAAGTCAGAGAAGGACATCTTGTTTGCATTTCTTAAGGCTAGTCCTGCCAGCAGTGTGGGGGATGTAGGGCAGGATGGCAAAATGTAGGTAGGTTAAGCAAGTCAGATGGCTGTACAGGCCAGGAATGAAGGCTTCAGGAGCTACTCTGGAGATTGGTGTACACCAGGAAGAGGGAGGGGTTGAAGGCAGCCTGGTTCTGGCATATGTCACTTGGGAGACCATGGACCTTTCCCTGGTGGATGAATTCAGAGGGAGAAGGAGGTTAGGCACGGGGCTGAGTGCTGGCTAGGTCCCCTAAGAAGAGATGCCCATCAGTGGACGCTCAATCTGGGGCTCAGCTCTCCTAGACAGTCCATGAGAGAAAGAGGTCAGAGGACCTCAGTAGAGCCCTGGGAGTCCTGACAGAGAAGGAGAGAGCTGGATGGACTCAAAGTCCAGAGCTGGGGATACAAGGTGAGCACATAGTGTTTCTGGGGGAAGGAGAGGCTTCCAGTATACAAAGTTGGCTAGCAAACTTAGCCTCAGAAAGGCAACATGGAGTTGGTTTGTCAAGAATGGGGACTGGAATGGAGGGAAAGGCCCCAGGATGGGAGGACTTCTGAAATGGGGAAATGAAAGTCCAGAAACTTGCTGCAAAGATGGGTGTATAGTTTTCAGTGAGGGCCTAACAATTTATCATTATATGGACAACTTGAAGCAACAGAAGTTTATTCCCTCAGTTTTGGAGGCCCAAACCAAGGTGTCAGCAGGGTTAGGTTCTTTTGTGTTTTGAGACAGAGTATAGAGCTCAGACTAGCTTTGATTCATGATTCTCCTACCTCAGCCTCTTGGGTGCCTCCATGCTCCCCTCCAGTTGGTTTTTCCAAAGGTTCTGAATAAGTATCTGTCCTAGGACTCTCTCCTAGCTTAGGTCACTGTCAGCAGCTCCTAGTTCCTGACATGTAAATTCATCATTCAGACCTCTGCCACTGTCACATGTACTCTGTGTGTGTGTGTGTGTGTGTGTATGTGTGTGTGTGTGTGTGTGTGTGTGTGTAAGCCTCCCTCTCCTCTGATAAAGATACCAGTCCTGGCTTAGCACTCAGCCTACTCCAGTATGTCATCTTAACTGACTATAGCTGCAAAGGTCTTATGCCCAAATGAGGTCACATTCACAGGTACTGAGGTCAGTATCTGAACTCGGCCCAATACAGAAGGGCAGGCTTGGCTCTGGTGGTTCTAGAAAAGCTCCATGGGGTCAAGGGAAGGTTTGTTCCAACACAACAAGACAGCCGTGCCAATGAGTAAAGACACAGCTGCCTGCAGAGGTGGTGATATTGAAGATTACACAACAGTGGGATGTGTTCCTGCAGAGGAGGATTAGATCCAGGGCCAGGGAGACAAGATAGGGCTTGAAAGCTGGGCATTGTGATGCACACCTTCAATCCCAGCACTTGGGAAGCAGAGGTTGGAGGATCTCTGTAAGTTTGAGACCAGACTGGTCTACATAGTGAGTTCTAGGCCAACCAGGAATACATAGTGAGATCTTTTCTCAAAAAAAAAAAGGAACTTGGAAAGGTGAAGGGGCAGCTCTGTATCTGTATCTGATGCAAGAGCAAAGCATGACCTCAGGGAGTCTTTGGCATGTCAAGGATTCTTGGTGGGCAGCTCAGTGGGTAGACAGGAAACTGCCAAGAATAGCTGGAAGTAGGGACAGGTCTGATAAAGAATAAAGTCCTGGGAGACATGGACAAGGGCTTCAAAGAAGGTCAGCAGACAGCACCAGGGGGTGGAGGGTGCTTGTGTTGGAAGGGTTTGTGGGACAAGGGTCTGCAGCCCTGTGGTAGGCTCTAGATCCCTTGGCAGCCCAGGGGAAGGAATAGAAAGGTCTAGTCAGTGGAAATGCACCACTTCTTCCACATAGCTGAAGGAGGTGAGGACAGGCTAGTGATGGATAGTGCTCTATGGGGGACAGGGAAAGAAGTGCAGGCCGAGAAGGGCAGACCTGTTCTCACGCCTTGCTTTCCACCTGGCAGCATGCTCATCCGGTTTATTTCTAACCCCACGGCCCCCACCTGGTGGGGCTTCCTGCTGGCTGGGATGATGTTCATATGCTCCTTGATGCAAACATTAATCTTACACCAGTATTTCCACTGTATCTTTGTGACTGCCTTGAGGCTACGCACAGCAATCATTGGTGTCATCTACAGGAAGGTAAGGTCAGCTAGAATGGGTCATACCTGGGCGGGGGGAGGCCAGTCCTGGGCTGCTTGAGGGGGTGCTCATAGGATTGGTCCATCTCCTGCTATCTGCAGGCGCTGGTCATTACTAACGCAGTCAAACGTGAATCCACTGTGGGAGAAATGGTCAATCTCATGTCAGTGGATGCCCAGCGCTTCATGGATGTTTCCCCCTTCCTCAACCTACTGTGGTCAGCACCCCTGCAGGTCATCCTGGCAATATACTTCCTCTGGCAGGTGACTCCCAAACCTTGACCTCTGCCCCCTTCCTCTGACTGCAGAAGGAATAAGAGAGGGGTAGTCTAGGCTGGTAGAAGAGATATGTCATGCCCACGAACCCATCCTCAGGTACCAGGGGACCTTGGTCACTGATGCTTCCTACCCTGGGCTATGATTCATCCCTCAAAAGTCCAAGGCAAGGGGTACTTGGAGGCACGTTGAGTGTTGATCAGTGTGTATTATCCTTCTTGGGTGTCTAGATACCCTCCTCCTCTTCCTTCTTCTCTTTCTTCTTTGCAGTTCTGGGATGGAACTCAGGGTCTTGTAAGTATGCTAGATGCACTTTACTACTGAGTTCCTCTGCTCTTTGAATGTTTATTTCAAGATAGGGTCTGGTCTCCCAGGCTGATCTTGAAGTCAGTGTATAGCCCAGTCAGGCCTCAACCCTCCCAACTAGCTAGGATTCCAGACCTGAGCCACCCATGCCCAGCTTGTACAGACTCTCTGTGTGCTTCTGGCCTGTCTGTGGTCATTAACTGATAGCAGGCTGTCTTCTGCCAATGTGATGGTTATGACCATCTGTCTAATATCTTGCCTCTGCTTCTCACACTTTAAGTCAGGTGGGCTCAATTAAGCTCTGTTTACAGAACTCGGTTATCTGCTAGTATGTCTTACCTGACCCCCACACCACTCGTCTGTGCCTCCTCAGCTCCTGGGCCCATCAGTCCTGGCTGGAGTGGCTGTCCTGGTCTTGCTGATTCCACTCAATTCAGCTGTGGCCATGAAAATGCGGACCTTTCAGGTGAGTGTGCCCAGAGGCATCTGCTCCAGACTTTGGGGCCCATGTTCATCCCCAGCCCCTCAGGCACTCTACACTCCTTGTACTGAGTGTGAAAGGCCACAGCCACTTGTACAAACCTTACCTCCTCTTTGTCCATCACTTGAGAGCTATTTATTGATAGTCCTACTCGTCAACTGAGTGACTCAGAGAAACTGTGGCAGTTTATGGTCAGACAGAGCAGGGACGCAAACCTGCTCCCACTGCGTGGTGCTAAATGTAGCTAGCCAGACAATAAGTCCACCTGCAAACATTTACTTAAGCCCTCAGCAGCTCCCACTGCACACAGAATAAATGGCAAACTTCCTAAGACCAACCTCAAGGCTCCCTCAGACCTTGCAAGTCTCCAGTCCAGACCTTGTGGGATAACCAAGTTTCAGCTAGGCTGTTTTTTTGTTTGTTTTTTGTTTTGTTTTGTTTTCTCTAGTACTAAGCTTAAGTATCTCTGGGCTACCACATACACTGCCTAGAATGTTCTCACTCTCCTTGCTTCTCTAACTCTTCCCTCTGTCACCTCTCAACATAAATATTACTTCCTCCAGAGGCCCACCCTAATTACTCCAAGTTAGTGCTCCTTCCCCCACCCCATTATTCCCTCACTGCATCCTGTTCTTTTCCTTGTGGAGCAGACAACAATGATTTATAATTAAGCATCTATTCTATTACTTTTTATCATCTGCCTCCCCCATCAGACTATTGGCTGTATGATGGCCAGGGTCTCTGAATCATCACAATATCCTCTATCAGGCATATAGTCTGGCACATAGGCAGACAAGAGCTGAGAGAATAAGACAGTGTGGCATGCTAGGCTTTAGATTAGGGTCTGAGTGAACAGAATAAATAAACAACCCCTCCCCTAGGAGGCTCATGGTCTGACTGGGGACACATATGTAAAGGGACAGGGATGGAAACAAAAGGGAAGGGCAGTGATGATAGAGTTGCACTTCTCAAAAGAGGATGTAGGATGGGAGCTGGGGGATTGGGCACAGGAGGCAGGTCAAACAACATGTAATGGCTGCAGTGGTGGTTGAGAAGGTGTGGAAGGTGTAAGCCTAGTGGGGAGGAGATCCCAGGAGGACAAGGGGGTGTGCCACTGCTCTCCACTGCACAGGTTCAGCAAATGAAGTTAAAGGACTCTCGAATCAAGCTGATGAGTGAGATCCTGAATGGTATCAAGGTGCTAAAGCTATATGCTTGGGAGCCCAGTTTCTTGGAGCAGGTGGAAGGCATCAGGGAGGGCGAACTCCAGCTGCTGCGCAAGGGTGCCTACTATCAGGCTATATCCACCTTCATCTGGGTCTGCACCCCCTTTCTGGTAAGGCCGTCCATTGGTGTGAGGTTCTTGCCTCTTGCTTGGACAACCCAGGTCTCAGGGTCCCCAATGTGGTTGGAGCCGAGCAGGCTCCAATATGACATCCATTCCCATGTTACGCAGGTGACCCTGATCACCCTTGGAGTATACGTGGCTGTGGATCAGAACAATGTGCTGGATGCTGAGAAAGCCTTTGTGTCCGTGTCTTTGTTCGACATCTTAAAATTTCCCCTCAACATGCTGCCTCAATTAATCAGCAACCTGACCCAGGTAACTTTGGGCAGGTCAGGGTGTCCACTGGACTTCAGTCATATGATAAGGTCAAGCAAGGGTAACTTAGGAAAAAGGAATAAGCAGAGTCCCTGGGGTCGGGAAAAGCCACCGTCATGATGAAGTGTTGCAAGAGGTTAAGAGGGCTGATCCAGCTCAGCGGGCGTGCTGGCACACACCTTCAGTCCCAGCACTCAGGAAGCAGAGGCAGGCAGCCAGCCTGGGCCACATAGTAAGTTCCAGGTCAGCTGAGGCTGCAGGGAGACCCTGTCTCAAAACAAACAAAAAACAAAAGAAGGTTGTTTGTAGTCACAGAGCCTGACTTCCTGACACAACCTCCTTTTAGCAACCTGGACCTTATCTTCTATCATTGGGAGCCATGGAAGACTCAGTCACAGGAGGGGCCCCATCTGTAGTGAGTGGGCCCTCAGGAGGGCTTGCCTAGCTCCAGAAGTTAGGGACCCACAAAGCAATGACAGAGCTAATCCACACCCTCCTGCAGACCAGCGTGTCTCTGAAAAGGATCCAGCACTTCCTGAGCCAAGATGAACTTGACCCCCAGTGTGTGGAGAGAAAGACCATCTCCCCAGGTCCCGACATCCTCTACTGGACTGTCCTGGCACAGGGAAATCCACTTCCAAGCTTTCTAAGTTTCCTCCTGTGACCCCTTTTCTCTGCTTTAACTCTGGGGCTCCCCTTCCATCAGCTCCTCCCCTACACCCTTCCCCCAGGCTCCTCACACCTCCTCCTTCTGCCCTTGCTCCAGAACCCCTCGCTTTGCCCAGGCTCCTCCCTGCTCCTCTTCCTGTCAGGCCTCCCTACTGCTTCCCTTGTCCTGGGCTCCCTGACCCTGTATACTTTGGTCCTCCCAGGCTATGCCATCACCATACACAGTGGCACCTTCACCTGGGCCCAGGACCTGCCTCCCACCCTACACAGGTACCACCAGCTTCTCTCACTCCCTTCCCAGCTTCCCAAAGCAGACAAAAGGTCAATAGTAGCACCTTCTCCCCCATCTCTGTTTTTGACATGAAATGCAGGAAAAACTTGCACTCGCCGGGGTAGTCTGGGAGAGAGGAGGGCTTGGGTCTTCAGGTAGCAGGTTGGCGCTAGACCCAGTCTCTGTCTCTGACAGCTGTTCCTTCCTCCTAGCATAGACATCCAGATCCTGAAAGGGGCACTGGTGGCTGTGGTAGGGCCCGTGGGCTGTGGGAAGTCTTCCCTGGTGTCTGCCTTGCTAGGAGAGATGGAGAAGCTGGAAGGCACAGTGTCTGTGAAGGTGAGAAGGGTACAGGCTCCTCGGGAAGGCATGAGGTTTGGCCAGCTTCCAACAAACCCCAAGGTGACTTCTCCTGTGCCCAGGGCTCTGTGGCCTATGTGCCCCAGCAGGCGTGGATCCAGAACTGCACACTTCAGGAAAATGTACTGTTTGGGCAAGCCCTGAACCCTAAGCGCTACCAACAGGCCTTGGAGACCTGTGCCCTGCTAGCTGACCTGGACATGCTGCCTGGTGGGGACCAGACAGAGATTGGAGAGAAGGTACAGAGTTATCCTTTCATCAGAGAGCCAATGTATGTAGCTGCCAACCTCAGCCCAGCGAAGGGACCCCTCACTCACTCTTTCATTCATTCACACATTCACATAACATCATGCCCAGCTCTGTGACATCCATTCTAGAGAAAATAACTCATGAACAGGCAGGGACCACTGGGGTCAGGCTGAAGACCTGTGCAGGGCAGAAGAGTACAAGGCGAGGATAGTGGGATTTGTACAAGGAGAAGCATCACCTTTGCACTGACTCTTTTTTTAATATTTTATTTTTTATTTTATGTGTATGAGTATATTGTCTGCATGTGTGTAAGTGTACCCATGTCATGCAATGCCCTTAGAGGTCAGATGAGGGCATTGGAGTCCCTGGAACTGGAGTTATGGATGGTTGTTAGCCACCATGTGGGTGCTAGGAATCAAACCTGGGTCCTCTACAAGAGCAGTCAATGCTCTTAGCTGCTATCTCTCCAGACCGTTTGAACTGACTCTTAATGACTATGGGGAAGAGGAGCTCATCATTCACTGAATCATTCATTTATCTATCAGATTTTATTAAACACCTACTACTATATGCCAGCAAATATTATTTGGCAATGAATGCACCAGTATAAAAATCTCTGTTTTCATCAGGCATGGTGGTGCATGCCTTTAATTCCAGCACTCAGAAGGCAGAGGCAGGCAGATCTCTGTGAGATCAAGGGCAGCCTGGTCAACATAGTGAGTTCCAGACCAGCTCGGGCTATGGGAAGACCCTGTCTCAGCAACAGCAACAACAAGAAAAAAAAAAACAAAACAAAAAACCCATAACTTTGCTTTCATGTACCATGTATTCTAGCAGAGGAAAGAGACAATAAGCAAGATAAACAAAATATATGTTAGATTATTTGGGGGGATTAAAAAAAAGGCAGGAATATAGGAATATGTGCTGGGATGAATTGTTAGGATGGCTTGAGAAAGCATCTGAGAAAGAGATCTGAATAGAAGGAACAGCCCTGTCTTCCTAGGGCTGTGAGCAGCCTGTCTACCTAAAGCCATGAACAGCCCTGTCTACCTAGGGCTATGAAGCTATGACTAGAATCATCTGAGGCAGAGAACACACAGTTCAAAGGTTCAGGCAGGAACATAACTGGGCACTGGACCATCAAGGAGACCCGCATGGTTTGAACAGAGTGAGCAAAGGGTCCAGAGAAGGAAGTGAAGCTAGAGGTGTTGTCAAGTAGCCAGGACTTACTGAACTGTGCAGGCCACTTGAAGGCAGTAGATTCTAGGGACAGTGGGTAGACACAGATGAGTACCTGGTACACTTTGACTTGAGTGGAGGTTAGGAAATGGGATCAGGGAATAGAGCGAGGCAGAACGTTGGAGACCTTGGTTTTGATTCTGGCCTTCAAATGATAAGACATGGGGCCTCTGTGGAAGTTCATTTTTTTTTCTTTTTGGGGGAGGCTTTTTAAATTTATTTATTTTATTATTGATTTATTTATTGGTCTTTTTTAGACAGGGTCTCCCTGTAGCCCCAGCTGTCCTGGAACTTGCTATGTAGACCAGGCTGGCCTTGAACTCACAGAGATCTGCTTACCTCTGGCTCTGAAGTGCTGGGACTAAAGGTGTGAGCCACCATGACTGGCTTATTTTTATTTTTTTATTACATTAATTGTGAAGAGAGAGAAAAGGGGCACTCAAGTGCTATAGTGCACATGTGGAGGCCAGAGGACTACTTGTGGGAGTCAGTTCTCTCTGCCTTTGGGTCCTAGGATTCAAATTCAGGTCATCAGACTTGGTGGCAAGCACCTTTACCTGCTGAGTCATCTCTTCCACCTTTGTTTTCTTTTTAAAGTAATTCATTTTTAATTACAGTGAAAGTCACCTAACATAAAATGTATTGCTTTAACTACTTTTTCAGTGCCCAGTTCAGTCATGTTGGCTACATTTGCAGGGTTTTGCAATAAATTCCAGAGCCTTGTTATTCCAACCCTGTCTGTCCTGATTGAACATCCCTCAGTTCCCTCCTTTCCCGACCCTTGGCGACCACCACTCTGTTTCTTAGAATCTGGCTACTCTAGACACCTGTGTGAGGGGACTTACACAGTATTTGTCTTTCTGTGTCCAACTTACTTCATTTGGCATAATGTCCTCAAAGTTCACCCATGTTGTTACATGTGTGAGCATTTCTTCTTAGAGCTGAATAATATTCCAGTGTATAGATATACTAGCTATTGTTTATCCACTCACCAGTCAGGAGTGCTAGGGCTAAACAGGGCAACCAATTGGGCAGGGTACTGAAACCAGGGAGGAGGATGGCCTCATCTGCTCTAGAGGCTGCTGAGAACCATCACCCCTTCCCCTGTGGGCTACATCTTTGTGGGGACAGCAAAGTATCCTATGAAATGCAGATTCAGAGGACTGCCTTGCTTGAATGGCCCTTGTCACCCTCCCCCCACATGCCTGTATGACCTTTTCCACCCAGCACCCGTCTCTCACCACCTCCTCTTTCCAGGGTATTAATCTGTCTGGGGGCCAGCGGCAACGGGTCAGCCTGGCCCGAGCTGTTTATAGTGATGCCGACATTTTTTTGCTGGATGACCCACTGTCAGCTGTGGACTCCCATGTGGCTAAACATATCTTTGACAAAGTGATTGGGCCAGATGGTATACTGGCAGGCAAGGTGAGACCACGGGCAGTTAGGGGGCAAAAATGAGATCTAGTGCCCTGGGAGAGAATGGGTGGGAGGTTGAGGGGGTTGGGTAAGACATGGAGATGTGGGGACCTGAGATGCAGAAAGGGGTAGGCAGCAGGGGAAACCCACAGGGATGTACACCCCAGAGATACTGAGCAAGCTGCGTCAAGCATGGGATGAGTCACAGATGTACTCCCTAGCCCACAACTCCTCATGGCTCTGTGCCCGAGTTGGAGGTGTGTCTGAAGGTGCTACAGCTCAGAGCATGCTGCCTTCTCCACAGACTCGTGTGCTGGTGACCCATGGCATCAGCTTCCTGCCCCAGACAGACTTCATCATAGTGCTTGCTGATGGGCAGGTGTCTGAGATGGGCCACTACTCAGCCCTGCTACAGCACGATGGTTCCTTTGCCAACTTCCTCCGCAACTATGCACCAGATGAGGATGAAGAGTACCTCGAAGACAGAAAGATTGGTACCCACCACCCCTGGCCCTCCTGGTGTCCAGTGCCCTTCCAGCATCTACCTTGTCTGGGGTCTCTGAGTGTGTCTAGACTGGTCTACTAGGATGCTAGGGGAATTCTGGGAAACTGGGGCCACCTATGTGGTAGCTAGATGCCACCAGAAGAAAAGTGAACCAGATGCTGCATTCAGATCCCTTCCTTTTTGTTAACTGTGGGATGCTGCAGCAGCAGCTCAGGTCTGTGTCTGTTTTCCCATCTGTCAAAAGGACACATGCCCTCAGATCCAGAGTATGTGGCAAAACTATTTTAGTAAGTGTGTATGTACTTGGCATAATCATTAACTTACCAACCTGTTTAGATTTACTAAACAGTTACTATAACCAGGCACTGTTTCAGGCAGTGAACAGATAAAGCCTTGGTCATCTCAAAGCCCAGTACGTGAGCTCATGAGAGTCCCACTCCCCACCTGTTGCCCAGTCAGAACTCCCCATCTCAACACTCCGATTTGGCTCACAGGCCTTTTCCCTGGCTATGTGTACCACTAACCTGCGTGAGCATTCCCCAAGTGCTATGTCCCTTGCTAAGCCCTGGACACACATTCTTTCCTTAATCCTCCTAGTGATAGGTGATGCCATGGACTAGGTACCATTCTTATTCTTTCCCACGCCTGCATCAAGAAAGTAGGATTTAAGCTCAGCCAGCCTGACTCCAGAGCCCAAGTCCCCAGCCTACTTGAATCCCCTGAAGGGAAGTTTTTCATGTTTCCTAACCCATGTCTTTCTAGCTGTCCTTTCAAACCCTCTCCTTTCCCCTGCTTGTCCATCCAGACCTCCCATTGGGATGGAGGGTGGGGCTGCATGGGTTTCAGAAGGAGTAGTCAACCTCTGTGGCTTTCCTCCCCTGCTGCAGCCTTAGAAGATGCAGATGAGGAAGTGCTCCTGATTGAAGACACGCTCAGCACCCATACAGAGCCGACCGACGAGCCAGCCATGTATGAGGTTCGCAAGTTTATGAGGTAAGCTCCCCACAGTCCCCAGGTCCCCAGAAGTTTACAACTGAGCCCTCCCAACTCCCAGCACATGGAGTGCAAGTGGGCATTCTCCCTGACACTCATACCCTGGGGGTGTGTTGGTGTTCTCCTGCCTGGGTCTGACCAGCTGCCTCCACAGACAGCTGAGCTCCATGTCATCAGAAGAAGGCCAGAGCCGACCTGTGCCCAAGAGACACGTGAATCCATCAGAGACGGATGCACAGGTGATAAAGACGAAGGAGACTGGCACACTAATCGAAGAGGAGAAGGCACAGACTGGCACTGTGAGTAGGGTGGACACAAGCTGGAGAGGCCAGTGGGGTCTCAGCAGCTGGTAGAGTCTTCTGTTCCCAATTGTGTGGTCACTTTCTGCAGGTGAAGCTGAGTGTGTTTGGGGATTATGCCAAGTCTGTGGGGCTCTATACCACAGTGGCTATCTGTCTTCTGTATGCTGGCCAAAGTGCAGCTGCCATTGGAGCCAATGTGTGGCTCAGTGCCTGGGCCAATGAGGCGGCGGTGAATGGCAGACAGAATAATACCACCCTGAGACTGGGTGTCTACGCTGCCCTAGGAATTCTGCAAGGTGAACCCATGGAGGTGCCCAGAAGGGATTCCTACATCCCTTCCTCTCTGATTTTTTTGTCCTCCCAAACCATAAAACCACATCCCTGCCTCAGAGCCTCCATAACCCACCTGGCCATGTCACATTCTGCCTTTCTATGCCTGCCTCCTCCTCTGAGTGATCAAGTCACCCTCTGCCTCTCTCAACAGGCCTCCTGGTGATGCTGTCAGCCTTCACCATGGCAGTGGGCGGTGTCCAGGCTGCCCGCCTGCTGCACTCGGCTCTGCTGCACAACAAAATTCGCTCCCCACAGTCCTTCTTTGACACAACACCCTTAGGCCGTATCCTCAACCGCTTCTCCAAGGATATACACACCATTGATGAGGTTCTGGCTCCCACCATCCTCATGCTGTTCAATTCCTTCTTCAACTCCATCTCTACCCTCGTGGTCATCGTGGTCAGCACACCACTCTTCTTGGTGGTTGTGCTGCCTCTGGCTGTGTTCTACGGCTTTGTGCAGGTGCCAGCACTGGCGGGCAGAGCGTGTGGTGATGGGGGGCAGGGGGCCCTGAAGTGGGCCAGGCACTCCTGTGGCCTAGGTTGCAGCTGGATTGGGTCAGGGCCTATAGTCAGTTGCTTCATCTCCTTGAAGGTCATTTAGCTCGCCTGTAAAATAGACCCTAAGACTCTACTTCATTGGGCTGATGTGAGGATGAAATGGGGATTCATAAATTATGACAGGCCCTGGGGCTCCTTCCCGTTGGCTATATTTTACTTTATTTATTTGTGTGGATGCGCGCATGTGTGTGGTGCATGTGTATATGCAGGCACCTGTGTGCATGTGTGTGAATACATGTGGAGGCCAGAGCTCAATGTTGGATGTCTTCCTCACTCTCTACCTTATTTTCTGAGACAAAATCTCTCATTGAATGTGGAGCTCACCTCTTCAGCTAAGAGCTCACCTCTTCTGGCTCCAATGAGCTCCACAGATCTGCCTGTCTCTGCCTCCCCAGTGCTGGCATTACATGTGTGTGATGGCATGCCTGGATTTTACGTGGATACTGGGGATCTGAACTCAGGGTCTCATCTTCCTGTCTCCCCACCCCCACAATTGGCATTATTTGAGTAAATTATTGTTAACAGTTTCAGGCACTTTGTCCCTCCCTTCTTTTTTTTAATTTTAAAAGATTTTTATTTATTTACATATTTTTGGTTTGTGTATGAGTTGTTTTGTCTGAATGTATGTAACATAGTTACATACATCATACCCATGTTGTGTGATGCCTACCAAGGCCAGAAGAGGGCATCAGATTCCTCGGAATTAGAGTTATCAACAACCATGAGCAGCCATATGGGTTCTGGGAACTGAACCTGAGTCCTCTGCGTGAGCAGCCAGTACTTTTAACTGCTGAGCCATCCCTCCAGCCCTCTTCCCTTCTTACACATATTAGACAGAGATATGTCACCCGAGTTGCTAAGGACTCAGATACAGCTCACTGTAAAGGCGTGAGGTCACTGGGATCCGGCTTCTCATCATTTGGTAAAGGGACCCCCAAAGGTGGTTGGAAGTACAGCCCCTAGGGAAGGAGCCTCCTGTATATCCCTCTGTACATGTCTGACCATCTTGGGGCCCACAGAGTACAGGTTGGAAACTGGAGGCAGAACCATGGGTTTTTTTTGTTTTGTTTTGTTTTGTTTTGGTCTTTTTGAGACAGGGTCTCTCTGTAACACCAGCTGGCCTGGAACTCACTATGTAGACCAGGCTGGCCTTGAACTCACAGAGATCCACCTGCCTCTGCCTCCCGAGTGCTGGGATCAAAGGCATGAGCCACCACACCCCCGCAGAACCATGTTTTTGTAGGGTAAAGCAACTAGGATAAGAAGGGCTTTTTCAGAAAAATCCCTTTTGCAAATTTTACACAGTCATTTGACTGTGAATGATATCTAAGGCCTCTAAGTAAAGCAAGGCATCACTACTCAGGAGACCAAACAAGATTGGTGCTGAGATCACAGAAAGTGATGGGGGCAGGAGCTAGTAGAAAACAGGCAGGGCTTCGTGGACAAAGCGGCCTGGTGGACTGAGCAAAGCTCACCAGAAGAAAAAGGTATAACGTGTGTCAGGACCCTACTCTCCAGGGGAGGTAGGGAAAGGCCGAAAGTTCTCATGGGGGAGTAGGACAGGGTAGAAGGGAGCCCAGGGATCATGGGTAGGTTTGGAGGACAGACAGGTCTGAGTTGGTGGTTCTGAGGTCCTGACACTAAGCTTGTCTCATCCCTCATCAGCGCTTCTATGTGGCCACATCACGGCAACTGAAGCGGCTGGAATCGATCAGCCGCTCGCCCATCTACTCCCACTTTTCCGAGACAGTGAGTGGTACTAGTGTCATCCGGGCTTACGACCGCATCCAAGACTTCAAGGTCCTTAGTGATACTAAGGTGGACATCAACCAGAAGAGCTGCTACCCCTATATTGCCTCCAACCGGTCAGGAGCTTCGCCTTCCTCCACAAGTGCCCACAGGCTATCTGTGATTCTGGGTGATAACCCTTCTGCCTCCCTTCCCCTGCCCATTTCTTTCCTTTGGTTCCCATAGGTGGCTAGGCGTTCGAGTGGAGTTTGTGGGAAACTGCGTGGTGCTCTTTGCTGCACTGTTTGCAGTGATAGGGAGAAGCACCTTGAGTCCAGGGCTCGTGGGTCTTTCTGTGTCCTATGCCCTCCAGGTAAGGTGGGGCCTAGGACCCCAAACAGAGCCACCACCAGGGCAGAGGCCACACAAGTGTCACAAGCATCTGCTGAGTGCCCTTCTCTGCTCCACATGGGGATCAAGGTGGCACACAACTTTAATCCCAGCATTTACTTGGAAGGCAGAGGCAGATAGATCTCTGTGAGTTCAAGGTCAGCTTGGTCCACATAGTGAGTACCAGGGCTACATAGTGAAACCCTGTGTCACAAAAAGAAAATATTTGAAAAAGACTGGGTATGATGCTGCATGCCTAGAATTCCAGCACTTGGGAGGAGGCTGAGGCAGGAAGATGGCTATGAATTTGATGCCAGGCTGGCCTACAAAGTGAAACTCTGTCTCAAACAACCATCTCCCCAACAAATAAATATTTGAAGAAAAAAAAATCAGAATGTTCTAAAAAAAACAAGACTTGGCTTCACTGTGCCCCAGAATCTGTGTAAATGAAGGAAAGTGTAGGCATTGTATTAGGCACTATAGGTAATCTAGAGACGATTTAGGCATGTGGGTTGCATACAAATAATGTGCAATTTTATATAAGAAACTGAAACATCTGTGGGTTTGGGTATATTCTGGGGTCCTGGAACCAATGCCCTGTGGACACAGGGACCAGGGATGATTGTAAACAGAGCAAGTGGCTGGAGCCTAGCTTGGAGGTCACCCTGACAGCAGCCTGTATGGTCAAAGAGTTACATAGTCACAAATGGGATTTTTGTAAAGCAGATCACATTTTCAAGGCCTCAGGTGGCTCAGCTCTGAATGCATTGGTAAACAAAAAGCGATCCAGACAGGCTAGGCTGCTCAAACTGTAGCGTGCATGTGAATCACTTGGAGAGCTTATTAAAATGTGCGGTCTCGCTCACAAGGTCCAGTTCTGAGATAGAGCTCAGATTCTGCATTTCTTTCAAGACTTCTTCGAAAATACAGTGTGATCCCCAGACTGGCTACACTGATATAGTCTGGGAGCTTGTTAGGAATGGAGACTCTCAGGACCTACCTCAGACCTACAGAATGGCACACTGCATTTTAACAAGATGCTCTGGGAAGTCTAATACATATTAAAGTTTGAGAAACACTGAGTGAGACGGTCCTTGGTTAAGTCTGCATTGTCACTGCCAGAGGCACAGTTGTGATTAGAGCTCCAGTCAGCACACACCTGTGGGTCATAGACGGGGTGGGATTCCCATTGATCCAGACATAAAGTCTTCTCAAAGGCATTGCTAGGCAGGATAGGGTCCTCCTATAACCTATAACACAGTTCCTTTGGTCAGGTGACATTGGCTCTGAATTGGATGATACGAATGATGTCAGACTTGGAGTCTAATATTGTGGCTGTGGAGCGAGTCAAGGAATACTCTAAGACTGTGACTGAGGTGAGTCCTGAGATGAGCCCAGCAGGTAAAGGGAGTCTGGATGAGCTGAGGAAGGATGCATGGTGGCCTGCCATCACTGCACATCAAGGCCAGCTGTTTAGGAAGCTCTCAGTCATTCATTCATTCAATCATTCATTCATCCATCAGGTGGCGGTCAATGCTTGGAAGGTGTAGAGAGCTCAGAGTTGGTCAAGAGATTCTGAGCCAATGGGAGGGGCAAGGCAGGTGGACCGAAATGCTCTGGGGTTGCTTCTAAAGAGGGTGGATAAGGAGCTGGGCGTGGTGGCACATGCCTTTAGTCCCAGCACTGGGAGGCAGAGGCAGGTGGATCTCTGTGAGTTCAAGGCCAATATGGTCTACATAGTGAGGTCCAGGCCAGTTGGGGCTACAGGGAGCCCCTGTCTCAAAAAGACAAAAAAAGAGGGCAGATAAGGAAAGTGGTTCACCTGGAGTCTTCAGGGAGTAAGCATTCTGAGGATGGGCAGGTTTTGACAGATGAGATTCAGTAGAGGTGGGGCAGGGGGAAGATGAACATTCCAGCCAAAAAGGCCAGCCTAGTCATAAGAACAGAGGTGGGGAACTATGCCCTTTGCTGTGGGAAAGGACTCGTCTGTCCTTACTTGGGTGAGTCCAGACTTTTTCTCCACCGAGATCATATCCCAAACCTCCTCATGCCCCAAAGCTGCAGCATCTCTGAGCTCTTAGTGTTAAGTTGCCCACTTTTAGACTCCACCCTCCCATGTGTTCCAAGTCACCTCTTCCAGGGCCCCAGTACTCTGTCCTTGCTGGGACTCCAATGTCATGACCCACCTTTGTTTCTCCATTCATCAGCTCCTCTGTCTACCACCTTCCTTGTCTAGCCTAGACTCTATCCATGCTCCACAAACAGAGATATTCTCAACCTGTCCCCATCCTTACCTACAAAATCCTACCCCATCCAAGCCCAGTCTATCCACATCATACCTGCACGGAGCAGCTGAAATGGAGCTGGAAAACAAAATCACTAATGTTATTTCAAATTCATAACTGCCCTCTACAGCCAGTATCCCTGCTTTGTGTTCTCAGTTTCAGAAAGAAATCTTTAGAACATTCTCTGACCTCAAAACACATCCCTGTGCCCAGCCCTCAACCTTGCCTGACACTTCCTTCCATGGGAAAATGGGTTAAAGATGTGAACATCCTTTACCTTCCTGCCTCCAGCACTTTATGTCTAAGCATCCCCCATCCTCTTTGTTTCCCTTTGAGCAGGTGTTATCTCTTCTCTGTTGAAAGTCCTGCCCCTCTGCTTCTTTCCTTGGCTGCTAGAGGACTTGACTTCCTCAGTCATCCGTCTCTCTCTTGTATTATGCCATGAGTCTTGCTCCCTCTGTCAGATGATTCACCTTTATGTGCATTTTCTGGTCTAGACACAAGCAAACCTCCCTTTTCCCCTGCATCCTGCTGCCCCAGTTCTCAGTTCTCCTTTGTCATGATGTCCATTTCAAGCTGTGGTCTATACATGTTGTTTCTTCCTTATCTTGAACCTTGCCTGCTACAACCTGTTTTCCACTGAACAGCTCCCCTGTGACATGCCCGGCTCTAATGTAAGAGATACTTTCCTGTTCTTGGCTGATTCAGCATCAGCTACATTCTCCTGCCCTTTCTCCTGAGATCCCCCTGGGTTCTGTGACCCAGGTTCTGGGTCTGTCAGTGGGCCTTCACAGCTTACTTGTTCCATACCACATGCAAACTGTCCTCTGTGCCTGCCCTGCCTTCCCCCAGCAAACACGACTCCTGAGATAATCATGTTTCCATGTCTCCCTCTTTACCTCCAACATGTCCTGTAGATGCAGAGTCCTTTATCCCAAATGATGCTGTTCTCAGCCCTGCTGTCCCTTTTTGCCTTTAGCACCTCTTAGAGAGAGCGATCTGCACGTGCTGCTCGTCCTCTCATCTTCCTCCTCCTGCTCCTCCTCTTCTTTGTCTTCTTCTTTTTCCAGGGCCAGCAATGGAACCCAGGACCTTGCATTTGTTAGGCAAGCATTCTACCACTGAACTACATCCCCATCCTTGGATTTTTTGAGACACAGGCTTGTTATTTAGCGCAGGCTAGCCTCTAACTCAGTTTTTTTGCTTTTGTCTTCCAAGGGCTGGCATCACAGGTATGTGCCATCATGCCCATCTTCCTCTGCTGCTTTGACTGTTAACTGTCCAGATTCCCTATCCAGAAGCATGGCTAGCTTCTCAGGTGTGCAGATTGAGTGATCACACAGGTCCCCACTCTCAGAAGAGCCCTGTGCTCACCAGGCCTTCATGCTGGGTTCAGTTCTCTGCTATAGTCACGTGATATTCTTTTTTTCTTAATATTTATTTTGCGTATGAGTGTTTTGCCTGCATGTATATACTTACACCCCATGCATGCCTGTTGCCTGTGAAAGCCAGAAAAGGGCATTGGATCCCCTGGAACTGGAGTTACAGACAGTTGTTAGCTACCATGTGGGTTCTGGGATCTGAATCTAGGTCCTCTGTAGAAGCAGCCAGCTTCTTAACCACTGAACCATCTCTCCAGCCCAACATTCATAATAATTTTTGAGCAACAGGCCCTGTGTTTGTTTCACACGAGGACTCTCAAATGATGTAGTGGGTTCTCTCTTAAAGCTCCCACTATTTTACCTCTGGCCAGTCCATTCTCCTCATAGTGGCTGGAGAGATTTAAAAACCCAGTGGAACTGGGATGTAGCCATTTTGGCAGAGTGCTTGACTAGCATGCACAGAGCCCTGGGTCCCAACCCCAACACTGAATAAACCTAATGTGAGTGGCTCATGTCTATAATTCCAGCACTTGGGAAAGAAGAGGCAGGAGAATCAGAAGTTCAGGATCATCTTTAGCTACATACTTTGGGGCCAACCTGGGCTACATGAGACCCTGTCTCAAAAAAAGAAAAAAAAGTTGAATCATCCCTCATGCATAGCCCTCTGATGGTGTTGCGCTTTACACCATATAAAAAGCCATGGGCCTTAAAATGGCCTGGGGGCCACCCACCATGATGCCTATTTGTCACCTTTGTCTCTGTGCTGCAGATCATATAGCACATGCTGTTCCTTTTATCTGCCATGCCCTTCCTTCAGATAGCCACTTGCCTTATTCCCTCACCTCCACCAGGAAGCCTTTTTACATACTGCATAGACAGCAACCTCAAATACTTCTGGGGCCAAGTCCTCACCACTTCTACTATATAGATTAGTTATGCAGACTGTATGCCCCTGTACTAGAACAGAAGCCTCCCAGAGCAAGGGCTTTGTCTTACTGGGGACTCTTAGTAATAAAGGAGGATAAAGATGATGGAAGGAGGTGCTAGTATAGACAGCAAGACACTCAGGGATGTGCTAGAGGAGAGAGAGGGCAGGGGCAGGACAAGGAAGTTTTAGAATGACACATAAGGAGAATAAAGTCAAAGGGATAGGGCTGGGGATGTGGCTCAATGGTCACATGCTTGCCAGACTTGTGCAAGGCCCTCGGTTCCAACTAGGAAAAAAGTCAGAGGATTAAAAGATTCAGTGAATGCCAGGCGCGGTGGCACACACCTTTAATCCCAGCACTTGGGAGGCAGAAGCAGGGGGATCTTTGTGAGTTCAAGGCCAGCCTAGTCTATATAGTGATTTCCAGGCCAGCTGGGGCTACAGGAAGACCCTGTCTAAAAAAAAAAAAAAGATTCAGTGAACAAAGGGCCCCTCCCCCAGGGACCACAGTGGGTAAGGGTTGAGGTGTCTGGAGAGAGGAGGGGGCTGGCTGAATAGTGGGAGAGGGCCTGGCTGGTGTCATCCGGATGAGACCTGCCTTCCTGTCAGGCCCCCTGGGTGGTGGAGAGCAAATGTCCTCCTGAAGGCTGGCCCATGCGTGGGGAGGTGGAATTCCGGAACTATTCAGTACGGTACCGGCCAGGCCTGGAGTTGGTGCTGAAGAACCTGACTCTGCATGTGCATGGTGGTGAGAAGGTACTTGTGCCTGGGGACATTGCCACAGCCCTTGTGGGGAGCATGGGTCTCTGAGAGGGCAGGTGAGCTAACTGGATGTCAGTTTGGCTGCTGGTGGAGACCTCGAGATGCCCCATGGCCCTTCCCTGCAGGTGGGCATCGTGGGCCGTACTGGTGCTGGCAAGTCCTCCATGACCCTCTGCCTATTCCGCATCCTGGAAGCCGCAGAGGGTGAGATCCTCATTGATGGCCTCAATGTGGCCAATATTGGCCTCCATGACCTGCGTTCTCAGCTCACCATCATCCCTCAGGTAGGAGCCTGGAGGGAGCCTGGGCTAGCCTGCTCTCTGCCAACCTTCTGTAGCTTGAGAACTGGGCCCTAGGGCCTGGTTAGTCAGGAGGCAGCCCCACAGCAGAGAACAGAGTCACCCAGGCACAGATCTGGAATGGTCAGACACCCGCTAGCTAGTCAGGACTGCCCTTGGACTCCTGGGCTGACCAAGGGGAAGGGCCACAGGCTCCTCCCAGCATGGCATCCCTGGGATTTCTTGCCTTGTTCTCCTTCTTGCCTTGTTCTCCTGGCTCTTTCTGGCTCCTTGGGGTATTTTTCTGTGGAATGCACACTTCAGAGGCAGATTAGTGGTTCTGGTTCCTGCTTAGTAAGGGACTTAGCAACTAGCCAAGCTGAGGTTTATCGCTCCCCTGCAGGCAGTATTCCATCTCCCCGGCGATGCCTCCTTGGGGGGCAAGGGTCAGAGTAGAATGCTGCTGCCTGAACCCCCTTCTTGTTCATGCTTCTGAGGTTCCTTATGGGGCTCAGCTGCTTCTCTCTTCTCGTGTCGTTCCAGGACCCCATCCTGTTCTCGGGAACCCTGCGCATGAACCTAGACCCCTTTGGCCGTTACTCAGAGGAGGACATCTGGAGGGCCCTGGAATTGTCCCATCTACACACATTTGTGAGCAACCAGGCAGCAGGCCTGGACTTCCAGTGCTCTGAGGGCGGAGAGAATCTCAGGTAGGAGTGGCAGAGGACAGGTCAAAGTCTGTTCCCAGATGACGGAGTCCAGGCGAGCCCCTCTCCCTGCCTCCCCCCACCAGGGTCCCATGGGGTATTATTTTTGTATAGAGAATATTCTAAGCCCCAGACACAGGGTGTTTCCTTACAAATTCCTCATAAGATCCCTACCAGTGGTCCATGGTGGCACATTGCATTTGAGGAAACAAACTCAGAGAGGGTAAGGTGGTTAGCCAAGCTGCACAGCTGAGAGAAGGCATGGCTGGGATTTGAACAGCTCAGTTCTCATCTAACTCTACCTCAGTGACATTCAGAAGAAACAATCCCACCCTTTAAACCCTCTGGGCTCCAGGGTCATGTATCTATGGAACATAAGAAGCTGGAGAGGTTCACCAGGATGGAGCCTGTCAGCTGAGGGATGTGCAAAGTGGGCCTTTCCAGCCTGTTCTGCAGCCCCTCCAGGGTCCCAGGTTCCATATTCCCAGCCCCTGGGCTGTGCATCAGAGAGACCAGCAGTTACTTCTTACTGAGTCAAAAGCCTCAAGATACCTAAAATTCTGTTAATCGTGGGGTTTTCTTTTGTTTATTTGGTTGTTTCTAGTGGTAGGGATCAAACCTAGACTCTCACAAATGCTGGACAAGAGCTTTAACTATTAATCTGTATGATTTGGGGCATGTTGCTTAACAATTCTGTGCCTCTTTTGCATTTATTCTAAAGTTGGGATAATAGTCTATACATGTTTGTACTGTACTCCTCAATAAAAATATAATGTGAACCACATATATATAATTAAATTTTTTTTCTAGTACCCACATTAATAAGAGGATGAGGGGCTAGACACAGTGGCATGTATCTGTAGTCTCAGCTCCTTGGGAAGGGAAGGCAAGAGAGCTGTGTAAGTTTGAGGCCAGTTTGGGCACATAGTGATGCCCCATCTCAAGAGAGGCAGGGGTCAGCAAGATAGCTCACTAGGTCATGGTACTTGCCACACAAGTCTGACAACCTGAGTTCAATCCCAGGAACCCACGTAAAGGTTGAAAGAGAGAACTGACTTCACAAAGTTGTCCTCTGACCTACACACACACACACACACACACACACACACGCACAATAATAATAATAGAGGCAGACAAACAAGGAAAAACAAACAAGTGAAATAATTAACTTATTTTGTTTTCTGAGATAGACTCACTATGTAGTTCAGGCTAACCTGGAACTCAGAGCAATTCTCCTGATTCAGCCTCCTGAGTCCCATAATTATGGAGATGCACCACCATATGCAGTGGAATCAATTTTTAAAATATTCATTTGTTTGCTTGTTTAGTTGGTGGGGGGAGACACGAGTACTGTGGATAATCTGTGGGAGTTGGTTCTCTCCTTCTACCATGTGGATTCCAGGGATGGAATTCAGGTCATCAGCCTTGATGATACCTTCACTCATGGAGCCATCTCACTGACCCTGGAATTAAAAAAAAAAAAAAAAGAGAGAGAGACAGGGTCTCACTGTAGCCCCAGCTGGCCTGCAACTCTTTATATAGACCACACTGGCCTTGAACTCACAGAGATCCTCCTGCTTCTGTCCCCCTGTGTGCTGGATTTTAAAAGGTATGCACCACGTCTGGCTCTGGAATACCTTTTTATTTGTTGTTTTTATTTTATGAACATGAGTAGGCATGTAAGTAGGTGCATTCATGTCATGCAATGCCCTTGAGGTTAGAAGAGGGCATTGGATCCCCTGGAACTGGAGTTACAGTTGTTAGCACCATATGGTGCCTGGAATTGAACCTGGGTCCTCTACAAGAGCAAGCAGTGCTCTTACCTGCTAAGCCATCTCTCCAGCCCCTGAAATAAATTTTAATAGCATATTTTATCCAGCCCAATGTATCTAAAATATCATTAAACATGTCATTGATATAAAAGCTATTAGAGGCTGCAGAGATGGCTCAGCAGTTAAGAGCACTTGCTGCCCTTGCACAGGCCCCAGGTTCTGTTCCCAGCATCCACATGGTGCCTCACAATCATCTGTAACCCCAGTTTCAGGAGATCTGTCGTCCTCTTCTGTCCTCTATAGGGAACCAGGCATGCATGTGGTACACATATCTACATGCAAGCAAAGTACTCATATATATGTATAATTTTTTAATTTTTAAAAAATACTTTATTATTTTTATTTTATGTGTATGCGTGTATTGCCTGCATGTAGGTAAGAGCACCTGTGTTGTACAATGCCCTCGGAGGCTAGAAGAGATTGTTAGATCCCCTGGAACTGGAGTTAAGGACAGTTGTTAGCTGCCATGTGGCTCCCCCTGCCTCTGCTTCCCAAGTGCTGGGATTAAAGGCGTGCACCACCGTGTGTATGAGTGTGTTGTATGTAAGTGCACCCATGTTGTGCAATGCCAGTGGAGGACAAAAGGTGTTGGATCCCCTGGAACTGGAGTTATGCTGGTTGTTAACTACCATGTGGGTGCTGGGAATTGAACCCAGGTCCTCTGGAAGAACAGCTCCTTAACTGCTGAGTCATATCTCTAGCCCCAATTCTTTTTCATAGAAGTTTGAAATCTTATGTGCATTTTCAATTTCGACACAGCTCCATTCAGATTAGTCTCAAGTGCAAAAGAGCCAGGTGTGGCCATGGCCACTCTTTGAAGGGAGCAGTCTGTAGCCTAGATGCACTCCTGTGCAATGTTGCCTAGTCCTTTCCCTTTCTGCGCCCTCTTCTTTTCTGACATTCCCTTTGTCTTCTTGGTGCTGGGGATCCAAACTAAGGCTTTGTTGATGCTAGGCAAGTGCTGTACCGTGAGCTACATTCCTCGCCCTTCCTCATTTTCATATTCAGTCCGTATTCATGTTCCAAAACTTGAAACAAACCAGAAAGAAAGTCACCTCTGCCCAGTGCTGCTTCATGCTTCCAAGTGTTCAAAGTACTTTGGCCTCCACTATCTCACTTAATCTTTACTGCAACTCCATTGGCCGGAAGTAGGAATGGAATTATTTGCCCAAAGCTGCTCCGAGGACTATGGGATTTTGTCCCAACACTTTCCTTGCTGTGTCACATCTTATCACACAAATGACAGATGGGGTTAGGCCTGATGGCACACACCTGTAATTCCAGCTCCCTGGGAGGCAGAATCAAAAGTTCAAGCCCGGTGTGGTGGCCCACAACTTTAATCCCAGCACTCTAGAGGAGGAGGCAGGCAAACGTCTGTGAGATCAAAACCTTAACTTATCTGCATAATGAATTCCGGCCACCCAGGGCTACAGGGAGACCCTGTCTCCAAAAACAAAAACAAAATGAAAAATAAGTTTAAGGCCAGCCTAGACAGCTTCATGAGAGCCTATCAAAATTTTAAAAAGTTAGAAAAGGGCTGGCTCAGTGGTAGAGCTCTTAGCATGTGTGAGACTCTGACTTCAATCCCCAGTACAACAAAACCAACAACACAATTTTTAAAAAGAAAAGAAACAGACAACAGGTGGGATACACTGTCACCCCAGGCTTCCCCTGTAAAGTGGCTGGTGGGAAGTAGGGGCTCTCCAGCTCCTGCTCCCAGAGCCCCAGAGCCTTCTATGGTCCCCCTGTCTCACCGGGCCCCAGCACACACACCCCCTTCATAGCTTCTGCAGCCCAGGATGGGAGACAGAGAAACGGTCTCTCCTCCCCCCTCACTGAGCCTGTGGCCACTTTAAGTATAACCTGAATCCTGTGCTAGGCCACCATAAATCAGCCCTGAGCTCTATCTTACAGCTCATTCTGCTGCCAAAACCTTCATTAGTTGCGGGAAAGGGCCAGGGAGGGAGGCTGGCCTTTACTCTTGGCTGTGACTCACCCCTCTGGGAAGGGCTGAGGTATTTGTCCTTGGGTGTGTGGGGGGAAGGAAGGGGGTGCTGTGGCCTCTGTGGTTGGGAACACAGCCTTGCTTTGTTTACTGGCTCTGGCTTTCAAGGCAGGAGGTTGAAGATATGCATCCACCCTCTTGGTCTCCAGTGAACAAACACAGGGAGTCCTAGGTCCTTCCCTTCCTTGTCTCCCAAATAGAGCCATGTATTCCCCATGTGTGTAGGAGATGACTGCCTGAATGGTACAATCATAGGATAAGCAAGATGGCATGAGAGTGGCTTACATGCAGATATCTAGGACAAACAATACAAATATTTTCTCACTAAGGTGTAAATGACAGCGAAGCAAAGACATACCATAGAACTAGTTGCAGTGAGGATGGGAAGAAAGCCCAGAAAGAGGAAGCTTGATGATACCCAAACCAGAGGTTTCACAATGTTTAGCTCTGGCTCTGGCACCTACACCTCTCATTATGGTACCTAAACCTCTACACTCCCCTGGCTCCTGGAGGGCTGTGGCAGAACCACAAGGTAGACAGGTGGTCCTGGGATGTTGAGAAGGAAAGACAAATAGGTTAGGGACAAGACCTGGAAGCAACCAGGCACCCAACTGGAAATTCCTACCTTCCCTCTTTCCAGTGTTGGCCAGAGGCAGCTTGTGTGCCTAGCTCGAGCCCTGCTTCGCAAGAGCCGTGTCCTGGTTTTAGATGAGGCCACAGCTGCCATTGACCTGGAGACTGATGACCTCATCCAGGGGACCATTCGCACCCAGTTTGAAGCCTGCACTGTGCTGACCATTGCCCACCGACTCAACACTATCATGGACTACACCAGGTAGGCCAAGAAAAGTCAAGTGAGGAGATCTGAGGGTATCAGCTAGGCATTAAAAAGAGGCAGATGTGAGGGTGTATGGGCATGAGAGCTCCTGGGATTGACTAGGACATGGGGGTACAGAGCAGTTTCCCAAGATATGCTTAAGAGGCAGAACAGAGCAAGGTTCCCTGGGTACAGTGACATACTCAAAGTCACAGGGTTCCTTAGGAGTTACCAGCATGTGATAAAGGGCACACCAGGCTCCCCAGGCATTGGGAATTGTACATGGTGCCTCCTGTTCATGGGTGAAGTGAAGAGAGTGGCCTCCCGTGCGCTTGACTGTCTCTTCCGAGTCTGTTAACATTGTATTTGCATGGCCATCACTTCATCTGCACCTCACTGTCCCTGGTGATGGGGGGATCACAACAGATCACAGCGGAGGTAATGAAAGAGCTTGGAAGGGACATGACAGATTCCTGGGTCCCCTCTTTGGCTACTGGATCCTAACAGCCCCTAGAAGAGCTGATGCTTGTAAAGAGGGCATTGTGTCTGAGCCAGAACACCAAGCCCCTGATGGCTGTGTGACTGTGGGCAATTTGCAAAGCCTTTCTGGGCATGTTTCAAATGGAAATGATAATGTCTCTCAGAACCATTGTAAGGAGTCAGTGAAATAATGTTTAGACTGCAGGTGACATTGGGAAATGTCAGTTTGCTCCCTAGGCCCTTTAAGGTCTGTTCATTGTGATTCTCCCTAGCATTCATTCTTCCAAGATGAGGGAAGGGGCCTTGCCCTGATAATCTTTTGGCTGCTTTGGGAAGGATGATGGGTCAACCCAGGCTTTCTCTTAGAAGAGTCCCTATGTAAGTGTCCTGGGGGTTCCAGGGCAGTAAGAATGCTTGATGCTACCCTGTATCTGTCCCATCTCTACCCCATTGCTACACCCCACTCCGGGAGCATCCAAACCCACTGGAAGGAGAAGGCAGGGTGGGCAGAAGGGCTGGGCCCTGGGTCTGGAGGAGAGACAGGCTGGGGGGAGAGGATTTATTCCCAGATTCATTCCCCAGCAGTCCTAGGGTGGGAGGTTCAGCCTCACCATGGGAGTTGGGAGTTCACTCATTCTAGTAGGGCAGGTAGAAATTAATCAGAGTCAGGCTACAGAGCCTGTAATTAAAGCCCATGGTGAAGAGGCAGGGGTCCGAGAGTGCAGGCGGAGGAAGCCTGTCTACACAGGGCAGGAGGTCCTTCTCTGCTAAGAAAGGGTGATACCAGCTGGACCCCAAAGGATGGGGAAAGGGGTGGCAGAGAGTGAGTAAGAGAAGGGATTGAGTACCTCAGTTACAGAAGCCAGCACACCCCCAAAGCAAGGGCACTGCAGACTGGGAGGCAGACAGGAGAGTGGAAGAGGCCACAAGAGCTGTACTTGAAGACTGTGGGGACTCACTTGGTCCTCATTCTAAGAGCCAGAAGAAGCCACTGAAGACTGTCCTTCTCTGCTAAGAAAGGGTGATACCAGCTGGACCCCAAAGGATGGGGAAAGGGGTGGCAGAGAGTAAGAGAAGGGATTGAGTACCTCAGTTACAGAAGCCAGCACACCCCCAAAGCAAGGGCACTGCAGACTGGGAGGCAGACAGGAGAGTGGAAGAGGCCACAAGAGCTGTACTTGAAGACTGTGGGGACTCACTTGGTCCTCATTCTAAGAGCCAGAAGAAGCCACTGAAGACTCTGGTTTTGGAGAGGATAGTGTCCTGGCCCTAGTTTGGACAGTGGCCTGGAAAAGAGGACTCTCTCTCCAGACTTGGGGGTCTTTTCCCATCTCACCTCACCCTGGTGGAGCCGCCTATGGGCCTTGTGCCAGATGCACCCTGTATGTGGTTGATGGGCAGCTCAGGCCTGCCTGGGGTGGGGTGGATGGATCCTTGCTGCAACAGCCGAAGGAATAAGCAGCCATAAGTCCCAGATTCTGGCGACAGCCTCACTGTAGCCCGGCTTCCTGCCGAGTGCCTTTGTGAGCTGGTACAAAACAGATGGATGTACACAGGGCCCAGCACACAGGCCCGTGGCTCCCTTACACACAGGCTGCTAAAGCCCTGCAACCCCAGCAAGGGGAAGAACTCATTAGGGAAGGTTTTCTGAGCCTGGACTAGCAGAGATGAATAGGTCCTTGTCTTTGATCCCAGAAATGGCTTCATGCACCAGAGCTAACAAAATAGCGAAAATAACCAGCTTTGCAGGTGTGCACATGTGGCCTGGGCTGGGCTGGATGGATTGGCTGAAGTGGGTGGGCTGACATGTTACTGTGGGGTCTGAGCAGAACCCAGAGGGCAGAGTTGGCCTCTGGAGCCAAATCTAGGCTGATGGAGATCTGACCACTTCTTTTTCTGTTTTGGCTAGGGTCCTGGTCTTAGATAAAGGGGCAATAGCTGAATTTGATTCTCCAAACAACCTCATTGCAGCTAAAGGCATTTTCTACGGGATGGCCAAAGATGCAGGACTTGCCTAGAACACATTGCTGGGGTTCCTCCTGGTTGGAATTAACACCAAGTATCAGAATGGACTTGGTGGCAACGGGCAGAGCATTTCGGAGATTTCTGACTCTACAAACTGCCTCATAGAACAGCCTTGCTTAACATTGGAATGAGGAAGTGAGCCAGAGGTCATAGCTATTTGAAGCAGACCCCAGACTAGTGCCTGGGTCTCCTGGTCCTGGTCTAGCATTATTCCCACACTGCACTGTTTTTAGGGGATGACTTCCCTCCTGCCACTACCTTTTCATAGTCTCCTGTACTGATGCTGCTTGAATCCATTTCGGACCGGATACTGATGAAATAAAGCTGTGTGGCCAACAGCCCCCACGCTACATGTTGCCTTTTTCTGCCTGTTCCCAAGATCTGGGGGTTAGAACCTTCGGAGACCGGGGACATCCAGGCGAGGAACAGAACTTCCTATACTTCTGTGTGGCTGCAGTAATCTGAAACCTTCAGACCTGAAGCTTTTGGCTAGAAATACCATCTTTATAGCCCAAATCCACAGGGTAATTTCAGTAGCTCCTGCTCTGCTGTGCAGATGCTGTGAAAAGGTGAGAAATAAAGGCCCTGAAATTTGACCTGAGGCTTTAGCCTCTTTGGAAAGCTGTTGAGAATACCTCTCGGTCCATGTCACTGCTCAGCCTTTGGAGGGGGCTCTCCAGCAGCTGAGGGGCAAGTAAGCCTCACCTCCTAGCTCCATTAGATGCCTGCTGTCCAGAGAGGCCACTAGGCCTTCCTTCTCAGGTTGGCTGGGTGAGCAGGGAGGACAGAGGCTTCCAGGGCTCCTGCCTCCCCAGCCCCCCAACCCCTGGCTGGCAAGATGCCAGGGGCTGGATTCACTTCACCATTTTGAGCAAGCCAACAAAGACTTATTTTCTGCAGGTGGGAGTCCACCTGGTACCAGGACTTGATCTGAAATGGATCTCTTCAGTCCCTCCTGTTTTCTCACCCGCCTCCTATACCCTTATTCTGTGACTGCGGGTGGTAGCCGTTTTTCTTTCCCTACCCTTACTGGCTGGTGGTCACTGAGGAGATGGCTCCTTTGATCTGTTTTCTCTATGCTCTGGGTCGGCCTATGCTGCAGGACCATTTGTTAAAGGTTAATCACACTTTTTTGGGCGGGGGGACAGGCTGTTTCTGCCCAGGATGTTTATGAGTATATGGAAGGCAACTTCCATCCTTGTGATAAAGCAAGTCTGAAAGCATAAATGCCCAAATTATTCTGCCTCTCCTTGGTGCTAAGAAAAGGTCTCTGCTATGCTCTCTGATTTATTAGGCCAATTTGGCATGACGTCTGCTTTGTGAGGCTAGCTGGCCTAAACCAACAGGAAAGCAGAATCATTCAGCATCCTTCTCAGATAAAGATCAGGAGGTGTGAGGCTGTTTCCTCTCCTGTCTTGGGAGTTTGCTTCTGAGTTCACTGAAGCCCTGACAGGTGCTGACAACCCAAAAGGGAGGCTCAGTTATGTCAAGTAAATAGGATAATCAAAAAATGTGGTTAATAGGGGGTGACCTCTATCTAGCTGGCTCAGCGACTCCAGGGAAACAAACGGCTACTGTGAACTGGGAGGGAAGACACCACACAGAATCTGTCTCCAGATGCTACTGACAGGACACAAGTGCTGCTGGAGCAGCATGGAGGTGGCTGTGCCGGAGAGCTGGCCCTTCTCTTCCTCCACAGTGTCAGCTCTCTGAGACTTTGCAATAACTTGAATCCTCTATGATTAGAAGCACAGGGCTATTTAGGAGGCCAAAATGAGAGAAAATGGGCTTGTCAGTTAATATTTAATTTTAATAATACCTGTTATGTTTGAAGAGTCAGCAACGCACAAAGAAAAAGGTCTCCTGTGAATGTTTACACACACTGTGAACACATGCTTTAAATATGCAATGGAGGAAAAGAGGTGAATTTAGTTAACAAAGCTAAAAAAAAAAAAACAAATAAAACAAAAAACTTGTTATAAATTACACAAAACATATAAAAATATTTCTCTGAATGCATAGATTAAGACTTCAAACTCACCTAACAGTAACTGTGCAGTCACACCCTACCCCACTGCCAGAGGCACTGACCAGAGAGGGCTTCAGCAAAGGAGCAGAGGGACTAGTGCAAGGGAACAGCCACCCCAGACACCAAGACCCTGATCCCCTGCTTCTGAGTACACCTTTTAGACCAGCTCCCAGCTAGGCCTCCACAGCTTCTGAGATCTCATCAAACAGGGTGGCTGAAAGAGTTTCAACCTCACTCATTTAGACATGAATTAATACTGAATTTATTTCTTCCAAGATAGAACCACACTTAATTGTATCAGTAAACTCTAAGTTTTTCAAAAGCAAAAACAAAAAAAAAAAGGTTAGTACATTTAGATAAAGTAATTTCTGATTGGTCGAAACACAAGGTAAGTTTCTTCATTAAAGCACTTGGGAGAAAGGGGGTGATGACCTCCACTCTGCTATGCAAACACTCTACAAAGGTAAGTCACCAGCTGTGGGGGAGGGGGTACAATTAAGTCACTGCACAGTGACTTCGTGGAGTTGGCCTTGAAGAACACCTCAACCTCATTTCAGCATTTAGGCAGCAGCGGGAGGCCATTATCTTAGCAAAACATTCATTTCCTCTGACACCTTCTGCGCATCAATTGCAGTGTTCTAATAAAATTGAGTTAATACAGTGAGGAAGTTTCTTTGGAAACTATAGGCACTATGGGGAGAAAGCTTCTTAAGACAGCGGGGATGCTCCTCAACAGCTGCCTTCAACCCCCTGCTCTCTCATTAGTCTGTGTGGGCTAGGTCATATTTCCAAGGTCAGCTGTTTGTTTCAATGAAACAGAGGCATTTCTTTTTTACTTTAATGATGCTGAATAAAAGGGAAAGATTCCTTGAATGCACTCTTAGAAAAAATTCTTATGCCATCTTCAGAGTTTAATCGGGTGCTCTGTTTTTAAGTCTGGCAGGCTCACAACTAACTTTGTCCAGTGGATTAGTGGTGGTAGTAGGGGGCGTTCCTAAGATCGACAATTTGTTACAAAAGCAACAGATTTCAGAGTTATGTAAAAATCCTAATAATTCCAAAATAACCTTTATCTTTGATACAAAAATAAAGATGCTAACTCCTTTAGTTCAGTTTCCCACAATAACCTTGAAAACAGCAACAGATTCAGACTCAAAAATTGCTTTTCATTTCTGGTGGGAAATGAGTGGCGAACATGGACCAGCGATGTTTGTGCTCTTGAACGGTGCAATTAAACACACGGATGACAGGGGCAGCCTCAGAATAAAAACGCAGTGGCTTTTTGGAAAGCATCAGAGAGCCCTCTAGTGACTGTGGAGGGGAGGAAATGCAGAGATGACTGGGGAGACAGCCGCAGCGTGAGTGCTCACAAAACAAAGGTGGGGGAGGGGAAGCTCTTTTGGTTAACAGCCTATTTACAATTAGGTAACTGTATTCTTAAGTACTTTAAACCTGAGTAACATTTATAAATATATTAATGAAACCTCACAGCCACAAGTCACACCAAAATTCCTTTGCCCAGTACCTGTGCTTTCCCCAGTCTTTCTCACTAGTCAGTTCACAATTTCAGGAGCATCATGAGCATGCAACACCAAGAAAAGTGCACCGGCCCGTCAGGTGCACTGTCAACAGGAGTAGCTAGAAATACGTCTGCTCTCTCAGCTTCGACAACTCTCTAGATTCTGCACATAAAACACTGACTGAGGAACCTCCAGCTTCTGCCTCTCCAGACTACTTCTCAGCTGTTCAAAGATTCAGCAGTAGGTTTATTGTGCACCAAGAGGCTTGGAAGAATGGCACCGCTGCTGGGGGGTCAGGGGCTCCCACCTGCTGAAACAGGATGATGTGTTAGTGTACACTAACTACCCAGTGGCACCAGGGGCCCTGGTGGGCATCCGAGGCTTTTGGATCAATGGCTTGTCCTTGGCCCAGAGGTGACACTGTCACAATACTCAGTGATGAAGTCCCGCTGCATTAATATGTCAATTTTGAAGCTCTCCTGTTGTAGCAAGGCCTCTCAGTCAGTGTGGATGCAGCATTTCTGAACAGAAAATTATTTTCGCTTATCATTAGAACCAGTTCCAGCTCCTGGAAATCTTGGAGTCGAGCAACATCTTTGTCCTAAAACAAAATGGGGTAACAGATTAAAACTCTTTTTCTAAAATTTAATTACTTTTATTTTTTAAT